CCCGCCCCTCTCTCCCCAATTCCCTCCCGACCGCATCACTTTCATTGTTTCCATGTCTGCGGTTGCCAAGGAGTCAAGGTCCCAGTCTCCCTAAGAGGCGGGGCAGACATGGGGCGAAGTGCACACGTGGATGAGTCGCTGCCAATGAGGTCCGTGACACCCGCCCAGTCCACCTCGACGGCCTGCCTCTTTGGGGCGTGGTTTCGGGGGAGAGGGGGGCCGCAGAGTAGTGGGGAGGGGACGCAACAGGAAGTGTGGAGCGTAGCCGGAGTCGTGGTGGCCGATGCTGTAGCTGATGTAAATACTGGTGAGGATGTGTATGGAGCGGAGCGGGGAGGGCACCGGGACCGGGGATACGGGGGGCTGGCAGTGTTGGGGGATATGTGTCTGCGGCAGGCTGCTGGGTGAGGGGTGGTCATACGGAGGGGTGGCTGCCACTAGTGATGCTGCATGTGCTCTCTGAGAGCTGATGGCAATGTCAGTGCTCAGCGTGCAGTGCGAGCTGTTACCAGGCCAGTGTGTGAGCATAGTGCCAGGGCAGGACGTGCTGCAGAGAGCTGTGTGGTAACCAATAGCAACCAATGTGACCTTCTCTGATGTTCACCCCTCATGTTACAATCTGACCTGTCATGTACCTATACAATCTGGTTGTCCAATCGCCTTTAGGCTGACCATACACTATACAATCTCCTTTTAGGCTGACCATACACTATACAATCTCCTTTTAGGCTGACCATACACTATACAATCTCCTTTTAGGCTGACCATACACTATACAATCTCCTTTTAGGCTGACCATACACTATACAATCTCCTTTTAGGCTGACCATACACTATACAATCTCCTTTTAGGCTGACCATACACTATACAATCTCCTTTTAGGCTGACCATACACTATACAATCTCCTTTTAGGCTGACCATACACTATACAATCTCCTTTTAGGCTGACCATACACTATACAATCTCCTTTTAGGCTGACCATACACTATACAATCTCCTTTTAGGCTGACCATACACTATACAATCTCCTTTTAGGCTGACCATACACTATACAATCTCCTTTTAGGCTGACCATACACTATACAATCTCCTTTTAGGCTGACCATACACTATACAATCTCCTTTTAGGCTGACCATACACTATACAATCTCCTTTTAGGCTGACCATACACTATACAATCTCCTTTAGGCTGACCATACACTATACAATCTCCTTTAGGCTGACCATACACTATACAATCTCCTTTAGGCTGACCATACACTATACAATCTCCTTTAGGCTGACCATACACTATACAATCTCCTTTAAGGTGACCATACACTATACAATCTCCTTTAAGGTGACCATACACTATACAATCTCCTTTAAGGTGACCATACACTATACAATCTCCTTTAAGGTGGCCATACACTCTACAACCATCGCAAGACTTTAGTCTTGCGATGGTTGTAAAGGGATTAAAAAAACGTACGATCTGCCTATCTTGGACAGGCAGATCGCACTCTCGATCATCGCAAGCCCGCCCCCCTGAGGGGTGGGCTTCCGATGACCGCAATGCTGAACGGGCAGTGTGCGCGTGCACACACCGGCCCGCTCGGCATTTGTCTTCCGAGCACCGTTCTAACCAGCCGAGAATCGTACGATTCCCGGCTGGTTTTCGAACATGCTGGTTCGACGGAAGACGTGCGGCCGTACAGTAGAAACGGTCGCACGTCTCCGTTCACACTGCTCGATTATCGTACAAAAAACCGATCGCATACGATTATCGTACGATAATCGTGCAGTGTATGGGCACCTTTAGGCTGACCATACACTATACAATCTGCTTTAGGCTGACCATACACTGTACAACCATCGCAAGACCTTAGTCTTGCGATAGTTGTAAAGGGATTAAAAAAACGTACGATCTGCCCATCTTGGACAGGCAGATCGCACTCTCCATCATCGCAAGCCACGCCCCCTGAGGGGCCGGCTTGCGATGACTGTAATGAGGGGCGGACTTACGCTGACTGCAAATGGGCAGTGTGCGCGTGCGCACACCGGCCCGTTCGACAGTTGTCGAACCAGCAGGCCGCCAACTCGCCGAGAATCGTACGATTCCCGTCGGGTTTTCTAGCATGCTGGTTCGATGGAAGACGTGCGACTGTACAGTAGAAACGGTCGCACGCCTTCCATACACTGCACGATTCTCGTACGATCGCAGGATTTCCCACGATAATCGTACAGTGTATGGGCACCTTTAGGCTGACCATACACTATGCAATCTCATTGTACAATCTCTTTTATGTCTACCATAAACTATGTAGTGCAAGCACCTGCCTGATTGGATACAAATTGATTAGATAGGTTTTGTAGATCATCATATTAATAGTTCTAATAGATCTAAATGTGATTGTACAATCAGATTGTAACATGTATGGGTTCAATTAGATCTGCCATCAACTATGTATTGCAGGGGCCCGCCTGATTTGATATCAATTGAATGGAATGTTCAGGTGTGACCTCATATTACCAATATTTGGTAAATCTAAAGGGGATTGTCCAATCAGATGGTATAGTGTGTGGCCAGCCTTAGGCTCACCATACAATCCTCTTTAGATCTACCAAAGCGATGTAATATGAGGTCCTACCGAAGCTATACTGCCAATCCTCATCCCGTCAGGGCGGCTCATAGACAACTCACACTGGTCAGTAGATCTAGACAGATTGTACAATCCGATCGTATAGTGTATGGCCAACCTTAGATTTCCACAAAGCTCTGTAATATGAAGAGCTACCGAGCTCATCCAATGAGGAGGGCCCATTGCACTGCATAGATATAAAGAAGATTGTCCAATCAGATTGTGATTTGCTGAGCTGACTGTGGTGTGCCTTGTGATTGTTGCACCATGCCCAGTGTCCTGTGATCTTCTTCCTGTGCATGGAGTATGTATAACATCCCATTCACTTACATTACGTGCCTTGAGGTGCCTTTCACATAAATTGTATCGCGTGTTACCACGAGGCAGGCGGTTCCACGAGCCCAGATTGTATCGGTGGGTTGTCACCTTGCTGTTTGGTCGGGGACAGATGTTTAACCCCTAAGTTAACATCAATCCTTACAGCAGAGATCTCGAGAGTGTGCAGCTGCGCGTGTTCCTAGTTCCCAGGCCAGAGCTCAAGCTGGAAATGTAGTGCCAGAGTTATTGTACCGCTCACTGGCGCTTGTGCAGGCCGCTAAATGCAGTCCGGGCGCCTAAGGGTCAAACTTGGGCCCTGAAAGGATTCATAAAAAGGAAGTATCCCGCGTTTATGTTTGGGCCGCTCAGGCGGCGATTGACGAAAAGAAGACCCCGTGCGCAGTTTGTATACGGACAGCCGCGACCGGATTTGCACAACGGAATGGCCGGCGCCGCCATTGTTTGCACGGAGCCTTTCATTCAAGCAGTTCCATGCGATTGGGGTCTCTGATCGGAGATACTTTGGGGGGAATCTATCAAAACTGGAGCAGTTGCCCATGGCAACCAATCAACTTCTCTCTTCAGTTTGTTCAGCTTTGACAATGAAAGAGAGAAGCTGATTGGCTGCCATGCACAACTGCTCCTGATTCTGTCTGCTCCAGTTTTGATAAATGCCGTCTTGGTGTCCAGCGCAGTGTTTCTGGCAGCAGCATCGTCCACAGAGGTGCAGCGGTTAGCCAAGTCCGAACACAACACTCTGTTGGCCCGTCTGAATGAGCTCTTAGCGGTGGGCGATCTCCGGCCTTCCAGCTGTGCTGAAACTGCAAATCCCATCATGCATCGGTCTCCGAGAGCCATGCCTGCGGCCGTGAGACCCTTGCATTGCCTCATGGGACTTGTAGTTCCCCCACAGCCGGAGGCCCGGAGTTTGGCCACCCTTGTCTGGTGCCTCTTATGCTGGCCGTACCCTGCTAGATATTCATATGAACAATCTGGTCACATTGGACTGTGGAATGAGTGCAGCGTCTTGAATGAAAACCACATTCACCGTTAGAAAGATTGCCCTCCTGTACCTTTTTCATTTTCTTTCATCACCGCGCTCAAACATGATCAGCAATTTGATTCCAATAACTATTAAAATATCAAATGAACGTCTGAACACGAGTTTTCCAAAAGCAATTCTTCTGGTGCATTTCCAGCGTCGGGCCCGCGTTCACACGAAGGTGCGATTAGATGCGTTTACAATGGTTTTCTAGTAGTACAATGTGTCGCCAGCACGCCGTGGTCACATCTTCAGTAAGCGATCATTCTATCGATACACACACATCCTGTCACTCGGGGTCCTTTCCTCAGGCACGGCTGGTGTGGATTAGGTCTCATTCACACACAACGCAAGCGCAAAATTGTGTATTGCGTATATGTGTGCACTATATGCAATCCCAGAATGCATCATTCGTAATAGAAATTTTAATGAACTGTACGCCTGTACGTGCCTATATGCGCGTGCGCACGGAAAATACGCAGAAATACGCTGCCCGGGGGCTTCTCGGTTCCAGTCTGTTTTTGCGCATTTTTACGCGACGCAAATATGCGGCTCCATACGCAGTGTATGGAGCCATTTATTTGCATACGCTGTATATGGTACAATACGCGCGGCAGTGTGAATGAGGCCTTAAAGTCCTTTTTTTTTTTTTTTACCACAGTGTGCTGGTGGCATACTTTACCACTTGAATCTGAAGCGGCGCCATCCGCAGTCACTACAGCACCTGCCGCAAGGGACATGCCAGTAAGCAGTGCGGTAGGACTCTCCTGTAAAATGGTTTTGTAAACGCATATATATGCTTCTAATGAATTCCAATGTGTCTAGTCACACCGTGCGTTTAGATGCTGTTATCTGCAGTTCAGTTTTAGAAAAAATTGAATTTGGCATTGATGTTATCTTCTAAACGCACCAAAACGCATGTAACCACAAGACGCCTACATTTGCTGAAATGTCATTGGCTACTTCAATGGACAAAGCTTAGATGTGTGTAAACACGGATCATTTTAAGCATTGGAAGCATAAAGGAAGCATCTAGTCTGACAGGTTTTGCTGACTGATCTCTGCATATGAAGACGAGTGTGAAGGAAGCCTCTTGGGAAGTGACTGGGAGACCCCTGACACGTGTGGAAGCTTTGCTGGGGGTCTGATGCAGTACTTTTGTTTTTTTAGCGCAGCGTGATGGGATCCAGTACAACCACATTACACCCACCCATGTGCTCATACAACTTATTGAAATATCACTTGTGACATTTCAATAAACTTCTAAAAACAAAACAAAAACCAGTACACGATGTGATGTGCCGGGACTGACACATTGGCAA